GGCTCTACAGTTCGTTACAAAGATGAATAACATTTAAACCAATCCAGGGACTCCTCTTCAAAAATAAAAATACTAATAGTTATAGAACATAAACAGCAAAAACAACAAAAACCTCCTCATGCGTTACTATTCAGGAGGACTATGGTTACAACCCCGCATATCCTAGCAATTTCAGTACCATATCAATATAGACAATATGCCTTTCAAACCAAAACAGCTTACAAACTTGTTTGACAACTATAATAAGTCAGACTGAGGTAATGAGGTATACGCAAACGACTTTGCAGGTACAAAGTTACTTCGATAAAATCATCGGCTCATCTCTGTTGTCATTAATACTAATTGTGGACACGTGTACATAGTCTGTCTTGTTTTATGGACATACATTAATGAAACAAAAGAATACCGCTATTCGGTTGTAAATATATTAGATAGTATGTCATATAAAACATTAAATTGTCGTCGGTTAGTCATTGATGCTATTAAGTTGAAACTGCCATGGAAAGTGCATAATCGTTACCCGCCTTTCGAATGTGATGAGTTTTCTCTTGGCGACCCATGTGTGATAAAGTTACGCAGTCTCTTATTACCTACTGTAGATATCATTAACATGCTCCCATTACTTGACATTTGTAGTGCAAAACCAGCGCATCGATAGCGCTAAAATCTTTATATCCTATCCGCACTGCTAATTTTCTGTGCAGAAATGTGTACTGTTTTTTTGTGTATCGTAAGAGAATAATTTGACATTTTTTTATTATTATATTGGATGCATATAATGCACTCACCTGCCCTAGGGTTCACCATTGGAAGACGATGGGGTGAAGACAACAAGTCAGTAAGTACACCGTGAAATTTATCATGAATTGACCACGATTCGTGATTTCGTTTCCACATGGAGATCACAATCACATTCACCATTACTAAAAGTCCTCCACTCTATGAACTTAATTTGTTGTTTCATTTCGATTTTATGTTCTGCACGCCTCTATGTAAATTCTTAATTATATTACATATCACATGCAATGTGACTAAAGATATGAATAAAGTAGTAGTAGTAGTTCTTTACAAATTAATACCTACCTATATGGATATATATTTACTCGAACAACATTACTAATTGGTTTAATTATTCTTCAGTGCGCTTTCAAAGGGAATGGACCGCATGGACGCCAGATGCTTGACTTAGAATTAAAAACGAAAACTTCCTTCCTCTAAGATTTCCTTTCAAAATGTTGTGTTTATTGTCTTCCGGCTGTTTTCTCAATCGTTTGACAGCTGTTTATTTTCGTATCAACATGCACCGTCGGCGCCATGTTTGTTGTGTTGCGTGTGGCGCGAACGCAGCAAATGCTAGGTATGGATAATACAATTAAACAATTTACTCTCACGCACTTTCTTCCCGTAACTAATTATAGGAGCGGCCCAACAAATGGTTTGTTTTAAATATACGTAATTATATTCGTTTATAGGAAAATGTACTTTATTTCATAACCTTATCTAAGTGCAATTCGATTCGCGCCCACGCCATGATGCTTCGCCCAAGGGGTAAAATAAGAGATTTGATTTCGAATGACCATGTAATTGTTTCCTATTATTCAATCTGTCAGACAAATATTAAGATTGCTATGTAAAATTGTAGCTGACGGAATTCTATTAAATTTAATCTCTCTCTACGTTTTGATATGTATCAATATCATCTCGCTACATATGTTACGTACATTTGGATTCACCAAACGGTGTTTGGCTTTAAATAAATTAGATAATGAAAAATTATATAGGTACATATCAGTTTAAAAATTTTATGTATTTAAATTTAATTCGCCATTCAATCTTGTATTTGTTCCAATAATTGAGATTAGGCAGAATATAATTCTTAGAAAATCAATGTTCATTACAAAACATGATTATTTTGAAAGGTATAATTCTAAACCCTTTTTTCTACAATTCTCTACATAGCGTTGGCAAATTATTAGTGCTTGGATATAAAGCACTAATGATTCGCCTACTAATATTTAGTAATATATAGGTAGTTAACATCAAACAAGGTATTTCGTTAAAATCTCAGCTGTTCCTTGTTTCCGAGACGGATGACGCAGTGCCGCTGTATCGATTCACTTATCTGGGTTGCGGCTGGGACCTACTACTAGCTAATGTTATGGCATTGTTGTACACATATACATAATTAAGAAGGCATGTATTTTAAATTATTTTAGTGAAACGTTCAACACTGATTGTGGTGAATGCAAATATAGGTTTATACGACTGTAAAATAATATTTCATTTCAATTATTCTGACGATATCGTCATTCGTCCTATACCAGAAATATTACGTTTGTAGCCAAGACAGAGACAGAGATAAATGAAGTTTCTGTGTCAAATTGAGTCTTTATCTTGTCATCGCCTTACTATTTAAAACGTATATGTAGACGTGATAGAGTAGATCAGTGTATGTACTTGGGATTCTTGTCATCGCCTTACTATTTAAAACGTATAGACGTGATAGAGTAGATCAGTGTATGTCCTTCGCAATAAAGATCCAATCCCAAGCTAGTTCTTAAAATTAATAAATTTATTTCGATTGGTTTTTAGACGACTAACATTATGCATGTTAGTCGTTTTACCTTATTTTAATACTATATAGGTATGAGCGGAATTCCACACAAGGACAGACTACGTTATAGAGGGTACCGATTCCCCCTGACCGTCGTATTTAATTTCTGTAGAATCCGACACGATGCGTCAACTGACCTGACTTCATCCTCCCCTGTTACCCCGTCAGCGTTTATACCGTTAGCGCAAACGGATGCATCATTATATTATCAATTATCGACCAATAAAAATCGCTGTATATTGTAGCTACCCATAAATTATTGGTTAAGTGATAATCCTAGTTGTATATACTTGACGCCACCATTTACTCATTAATACCAGCAAATCAATGTATTATGCAACTTTAGTCTTTATTTATTCAGTCCTAAGTGTTAATAAAATTACCCATTGCATTGTAGCACTGGCACTAGTTGACATGTTTACAGTAATTGCAATTACCGCACTGGCCTACCTACACCCTGGAAACCACATGTTTGCGCTTTAAAATCATTATCGAATCATCTGGAAGGCCGCTGAATTATCGAGTTAGCTCAGACAACTTGTAATTACTTATCTGTCTCAAATGGATTGGCTACTTTGTATCTTTGCGGATGTTTCTTCTTCATTGGATTTATAAATTCTTCACAGCAATTCTGATGCGTACCTACTTGTAGAGTAGCTAATTGGTTTTTAATAAGTAAATATCTAACTGGTTTTAAATATTCATCTTTTCAGTATTATTGGAATATAATTTATTTTAGTGAATAATTATAATATGTTGTGCCCGCATCCGCTAATGGTTTATGCAGGAGGCAACTAATACATATAAGAATGAAATCAACCCAGTTGGCGCATTGTAGTGCATTCACCAAGAGTTAACCACGATGATTTCTAGGGGAAACTATTGGAAGGGCGACATTGCTAAGGTTTAATTATTAACAATTTTCCCATACGTAGATACTCTTATTAGGCTTTGTCGGCTATAATGAGATGAAGTGACGATGTCAAAATGATGGAATAATTTAAAGTTTGTAAATGTTTGTTGACACTAATTTCGTGATCTGTAAGGAAGATATTTATTTTATATTCCGCAATAGGTATAGGTACCGTAGATATAGTAACTGTACTGATCATGACGTTATAAAGTACATTACATAGTTTAAGTATGTAGATATCTATTGAATGGGTTCATGTAACCCAATACTTGATATGCCTTGGTGTTGTAAGAGGCGATTATGGTAAGAGACACGTGTCCAGCAATCGGATGTTAGTGTTTTCATATGGTAGAAAATTATTAATTAATCTTAATTAAATTATCTTTTAATACATTACTTCAAAACATAAAATGATTTGTACGGGCAGATAGGTATTTCGGCATAATAGTTAAAATTTTTCAAATTCGAAATATCTTTAATCATCTCATACACAGACTCTTATGATATATCAAATCTGCCGTCAGTTCAGAATGATTTCGAGATGAGAATTCAAAATAAAAGTAAAAATTAAGACTATATGTTATAGGTTCCTAAATGCGGGCAAACCTTAAAAAATTAAAGTATTTGTGGTTTTAACTAGCACCGAATTCTAATGTGTGTTTTAATCAGGGGTTATTGTCCCCATACAAAGTCCGTATTACACGAAACTTACATTAAGTAATTCAATATTTATACAATATTAATCGATATATAAGACACGAATTACATCGCCCCTGCATAAATGGACACGCATGGACATCATTATATGCATATTTCCGGTAGGGGAGAATGGTCAACAATCAATAGTAGGTAGCAACGAATCATTTGGAAAACTGTGAAGTGTAGTTTGATATTTCAAACGCGATTCCACCTTATTGATAAAGTGAAATTGTATCTGATTGTAAGCTTTTCCGATTGGAAATATCTACTTAATCAAATAAGTATGGGGGAATAGCCATATGTGTATATTTATATATTATTATTAGGTGCCTAACATTTATACCTAATAATTTATTCGGCCATATCATTATTGGATGTTAATCTAGGTAGGTTAATTTTCTCTTTTGGTTCAAAATATGCCTATGAGTATATTTACATTACCAAAGGTAAACTTTGTTTTACGTTATCTGTGTATCTCTTATTCTTCTTTACATGTAGGTACAGTCCAGCAGCTAGTAAGGTATGGTTGGGTCAAAGGTTCAGTCTTTAACCCACGTGATGTAAACATATGTTACTAAACTTTATGTAGGTATGTATGGCAGAGAAATTATAACGTGCTGAAGCATGATAACGTACGATGCTGTATGCTCCAACCACTTTGTAAAACGCCGATCGAACGGCGTCGGTATGGCCCGTCTGGACTGAACCTGATAATGTGAGTTTCAATGGAAGTGGCGTAGTTATTCTTCAATTTTGATTTTTTTTAATTTTCAGGGTGCCAAATGCCCCCAAGAGCTGCATCGCAGAGATCTTCAGCTCGGACGTGACGGACAGTAGCCCCGTGAAGAATGGCACGGTGCGTCCCCGCGTGGTACGTGACACACCCACGCGTCCCCGCGACACACACTCCAGGCTCTTCGGACAGGTAAGCTTCGATGTCTACTTATGACTGATAATGGAATGGTTCACCCGCCTGCGCAAACGGTTTACGCTGGCGGGCCACCAGTGGAAGATGATTAGATGAGCGTGAGATCAGATCAGTTAGCCCATCGTGGAAAATTTATCGTGAATTTATCACGATGCTTTCCAGGGGTAACCACGTGGAGGTCAACCTGATATGGATACTTTGCTAACAATGGGGTTATCAGTTGACGTTACTAATTCCCTTCCCCGCTTCGATGTTTATTATACTTAGAATAAGATCGACAGACTTACGAAAGTCTTGGATACCATTATGATAAATCCCTGGTGAATTTATCACAATTGGGTAATTGACCTGCCCTCATGCTCCTCTTATCATTCTTTACTGGTCGTCCAACAGCGTAAACCAACATAGTGCGCGCGAGTGCAACATTCCATTAAAAATGAGCCTGTGCAGATTTTTTTTCTGGCAAAATTTTGGTCATCCCAGATACCTACATGTTTGCACAATGTACCTAACATTTTCTATTTTAACATTGAAAAAAAAGGTAGGTACGCTGAAGACTTGGCGGGTTCACTTTGAAATTTTATCATTTGATATCTACTTAATATGTTTCATCAATGTATTATATCTATACTGCTTATAATTAATAACAATGTAAATTTGTATACTCATAGAATAAATAAATTCGGTCTTAAAGCCATCCAAGACGAAATTTATTTATTGTTGCAAACGGATTTAAAAATATGGTATTCTCAATATATCAATATATTTTATTTATTAATTTATGTAGTACTTCCTAAATAAAAGTGGCCTAAGTTACTCCCTGTTACATCAGCTACTTTCAAAAAAAGTCCCGTCAAAATCGGTCCAGCCATTTCAGAGATTAGCCGGAACAAACAGACCGACAGACAGACAGACAAAAATTGTATTTTTCTTTATTTTAGTGTATGTACCGTATTTATATTCATATGCATGTAGTAAAAAACGGTTATTTCAATATTACAAACCGACACTTCAATTTTATTTATATGTATAGATATGGTACTCTCAAATATATTTTATTTATTATATATGTTTAGTAGGTTCTAGTAAAAAAAGGTGGCCTTTTTTACTAGAACCTAATTAGATTTTATTCATTCAGTCATCTTTAATAATAATAATGCCATTGAACTCAGTTTCTATATATTATTAATATAAAAGATTCCCCAAGTCAATATTGTTATAATTAATAAGATCTATTTATAACCTGTATTTAAACCATTATATTGCCCTCCTAAAGATCAATACAATAAGAATATTAAATATCTAAGTCTCTAAGGTCTATTACATAATAATAAGTCGATGTCATTGGAAATATCATATCATTAGGTACATTAAATCACAGTTTGTATTGTGTCAATATATTTTACGAGTTTTTTAAATTTCATTATAAATAAGCTTGCGCGCGCTATCACTCGGAAGTCTTACTTGGCGCTTATAAAATGTCACTGCTGATCATTACGAAATAATCATCCAATGTTTATAATTGTATCACGCACAATCACAAAGCTTTTATTTTGACACATTATACAATAATTTGAATATTTTGACAAATATGGAGTCGTAACATAACAGACTTGTCTCACGTTTCGATAGCGGCGCTTCGATCCCAGCATAGCACAATATTTTGTGTGTGTGACTTTTTGTACTTGTCTGTGTGTTTTCCAGGTTCGTAATGTATATTATCCAAAACCACACCAAAAGTATTTCAGCGACTTTTGAGTTCATGAATGATTTTTGTCAACACATACGCTTTGTTAATATACACGCACGCCTCCGCTTAAGAAGACTTCTGCTTCAACTGCTTGCAGGCTGGGAATAATTCTGTAACTCCGATGATCACGGACACCATACGCAGTAACATCCAGTTCGGGGATTCGCAGATGAACGGTGGCAGCCCTATCCATTCGCCCTCCAAGCATCTGACCAATGGAAGCGCCTCGTCGACGCCCAGTCGAGGTGAGAGGGACTTCGCGGAACACTGTGAGTTTATTTCAGATGTAGGCACGAAACGAGCACGGCTAACGCTAGGGGAAACGTAAGCGTTAGGTTTTTATGTAACAGAGACCAAAGAGTTTTATTTTCTCTTCTTTTGGCTTCGGCGATTTGAGTTTTGACCAAAGACATTTGAAATATGTTCAAATCTTTTAGTCTATGTCCAGTACTTACTAAATGAACTATAGATATTGTTATTAAACATGTTTATTCAATTTTTGTATCTCCATGGAACATATAAACTTTTATAATTGGACGCTTACGTTTCCCGAACATAATTTGGCACTTGAACACGCAAAGAAGACTGCTTATTATCAAAGAAAATCTGAAATCCATTTCTTTCACCTGTCATATAAAGAAGACTAATAAGAACTAACAATTGTGTACTAACATTTATTATAGTTTTACTTGAAATATCACGAAGATAAATTAAATTGTAAAAACAACGTGCTTTACTGAGACTGAAGCATGAATATAAAATAACTAATCTAACTAACACTCTCACCCAGTTTTATAAGACTTAATAACAATAGCGTATAATAATAAAAATATGTCCAAACATGAATCTACCTTACAATTATGTTCCATAAGTTAGACTATGATTATCAAAGTTGATAAATAGGAACTACTATTCTGTTAGTTAGAAGTTCGAATGAAAACCGTGTATTCTGTAAATGGTCAGCAACGTACTCCCCACCGAAGAGGAATCCAGTAACCGGGGACGGAGTTATGGTGCCGCCGCCGCGACGTCGCCACCCGGCCGCCGGCCTGCGAGGTGCCAACACCAACCTCGAGTACCTCGACGATCCCCTCGAACCACAACCCACTCACCGTTACTTCACCCGAGAATGGCCACCCCGTCCTGCTAACTATTACGTTCATTCAACTTCGAAACCAGCTCTCAACATATCAAAAAATCCTTACACTCTACTCGGTCTCAAAACTGATGATCCAGAATACATCCATCCAATAATAGATGACGATTCGTTCTCTCCCCAGCCAGTCCTCGATAGACATTGGCCTCCATTTCCTGCTCAACATTACCTGGAACCTTCAGACCATAAAATACCATATCACCCTTTGCCTCCTTACGCATTTGTTGGCATGACTTCAGCTCTTGGTGATAGACCAAAACCTGATTACAAATATGACCCAGTGCCAACGTTAGATGCACCGATCGATCCTTTTCTCGTAGCTCATACTGAGCCACCGCCGACTCTATTTAAATATGAGCGCGATTGTCCAATACCGGACCTGACTCCGCTGCCCACTCAAGTTATTCCTGGTCCACATACTTTAACAGGTTTCCCACCTATTTTCCATAAATACGTCCCAGGGTACTTATTTGATCTAAATCGGCATGCAGAGGATTTTCGACCTAAGACGTACTATGTAGACTATGTTCGCCGAAGAGAGATGGGTGGGTGTTCAATTTAGACCGAAGGAATGCTATTGTAATTAATTGCACTAGTTGCTCTGATTGAATTTTTTATCAGATGTAAAAGCTTGTCTTTCGCAACTATTTAATTGTAGGATATTATCACTTACTATTTGAAGAACCATAAGACGATTCCTTCAAATTATTAAATTGAGCACTCATTGCCATTTTATTATTTGCTGCTTTATAAAATGTTGAGTAACTGTCGTATTAGTGTATGAGATAGATTTAATAGGTGTTAAGGAACATTGTTGTAAATGCTTGTGGTGTTTGTAATGTAATTTCAATTTGTGTTGTTGTTTATTTCTTGTTTATTTAGGTTTAATTATTATCTTCTGTAACTGTGGCACGCAATTCTATACTTTCAATATATTGATAGACGTTATGTCCTATATACTACAGTAGTTAGAAGTACTCTTTTGATTGTTAGGTTCTTCATCTTAGGATAGTGTCACGTAGTCAAAAAAATCTTATGATAACAATACAGACTTTACTAATATTCTATTACTGAATTATTTTAATAAATATTCCTCATTATTTAGTACCTAATCACATCGAGAATTAGTATTTTAATAGAAATTAGTATGATAGGAAACCATCATTTTTTTACATTTAACTCATCTACAGTATAGTTTTCATTCATGCTTCATTTAGGCGATGTAAACCTTAATTAATAAGTGCTAATCAATTATTATGACATTCCAGAAGGCAACCCGATCACCGGTGATGGCTACAAGTCGATGAACGGCCAAATCAACACAGTAACATCAATAAATGGCTCCAGCAGCATCCACCACAACCGCGTGCCGCCTGGCGGATACTCCTCAGGTCTTTGGTAGGCTAACGCTCTTCTTTCTCGACTTCCCACCATGCCACCTCACCGGACCATAAGCAACAATTGAAGAAAGAACCGGCGAATGACCAGCCTATCCTATCGCCGAAACACCAATAGTACTCTATGACATTTTAACACCATAAAGTATTATTTGTGTTATTATGACTGCATTTATTTCAACTACCATTTTGTTAACTAAATTAAAGTAGCAATGTTAAAATTATAGTAACGCAAATTGCACCATCTGTAAGCAACGTCCATTATAAAAAAGGGTATATGTTGTTAATTAATTCCTTAGCCTATCCCAGTAACAGTTTATTCGAATAATTTAGAATAGATTATTATTATAGATATTTTTGTAATAGTAATATTTCGATAGTTATTATCTAAGTCGATCATTCTTGTGGATCTTTGATATTAATTAATGGATTAGAATCCATTTTTTTTGCTATAAATATTTCAAAGGTCTGCATAGTAAGACTTAAGAGCTACCATACACGAACACTTTTTACGCCATGACAATTTCGGCACTACTGTCATTTCTATGTGTATATATTTTCGTTTATTCATTAGACAAGCACGCCATAAGTACATGTTATACACAATCGGAAATTAGTTTATCAAATTATTTATAGAAATTGTTGTTTTGCTATAAACTGCGTGTCAAAATTGTCACGATGACAAAAGTCCTTCGTGTATGCTAGCTTTAATTTTTAAGAACTTGAAAAATTGTACTCTTTCACACTTTTACGAATATGTTAACGCATGAATATTGAGAATTAGGAGTGAGGAAACGTATCAGCAATATACCAAAATGATAGTGCCTTGATTGGTGATGATGTGAAATTCATATAGGTTCGAAGTACGGTTGTCTAAGCGTTATATGAACGTGATTATATGTCTATATATTTCACGGTATAGAAATAGTAATCATGCGGCGGCACGGGCTAATTGATACAATTAATTTAATGATAAATTTTATAATATATTATAATTAAAAATTATATTCAACACTATATAAGTCTTTAATCTCGTTTGTTGAATTTCATTATCATAGTTTAAAAATAAAGGGTTTATAGAAATGCATTTATTTTGTCTTTTTATACAAGTTTATTTCTTTTTTAGTTTATTTTCTACTCGTTTAGACGTAATTGTAAAAATGGAATTGAATCTTGGTAGATTATCTGTTAACATTGTATCGGAACATAGTGTTTTATAGAGTACGGATAGTGATGTTATTATGATTAGATAGTTTTCGTCTAGTATTAACCTAGGCATATCATCTTTGTAAAAATGTTTTTAATATTCTAACATGAAAATGCATAATCACAGGCCTAATTGTAACAAATTGTTAATAGATAATAACCCATTATTTCAAAATAAAGTTTTTTTTATTAATTTTTATATTTTTATTTTCCTTGGTGTCTTTTATTTGTAATACAAAAAACTGTTGACCATAGCTGAAATTTACAGCGTCACCCCGGATGAAAATGAGTGCTAAGGATCCTCTAAAACGGCAGGACTTATGGAGCGTGAAGGCATACTAGTGTTTTAATTGTATTTTTTAATAGTTAGTACAACAAATGTAAAAGTTTGACATATGTTTTATTTTCATGGTCAACTACTAAATTGATTGATACGGATGAAAACTGACAAGTTTCTACTATCCTAAAGTAATTTGAGAATTGAAAGATGAATATTGTGTATGTTATTTGTTGCTGTTAAGATGGAGACGCAGACTACTCCTAACACCTATGCTGTATAGCCGTCGAATTTATGAAAGTACATTGCCTATATGCTGTTTGCGCCACAACTAGTTTAAATGCACATCTCGTGTAATAGACAAGGACAGACATACTCACGATCTAGGGCCGAAAGGAGCCGAGTACGCCCGCGCCATCGATGGAAAGAAAGATGGCGCTTCTTCTTCGTTTCCCGCTCGTGTCTGAGAAACGCCGCTCGCACATAATTACGTTTTATAATAATTGAATCACTACGATTTAATAAACTATTGAATTGTCAAGGTGTATATAGATAGTGTGCAATATTCAAGGTGTATATACACTAATTTCCGCCGCGCGTGTTGTGTGTGTGATCAGTTCATCGATCATCATCGTCGTCGATCATCGATTCCTGCACCAAGACGCCATAGCAGAAAGCCAGGTACGCTCGTAACTCCTTACTTTGCCCGTGATCTGTGACGACAGTCTTATCGAAGGAATATATCTCTCGGGATACATATCCCTAGGGAACCGCTTTAACATTTTTTGGCCCGTTGCGAACCGGATATTTTGCTATTTTTTAAATTGAGTTACATTTAATAACGTACCCCTTTTGCTATTTATTCGCAAGGTCCTTCGTTTAATATTATTATTAAGAAACCGCTTTCAAAATTGATAATATAAAATCCGCTTATTTAGTCTTATATTACTTATTTGTTTCTCAGACATACCCGCGTAGCCATATAGGATTGCCTTGTTATTTCTTTATATTATACCGCAACCAAGCACCTATATGTGTAATAGTTTATTATTTATAAACATATTTATTATATACCGCTATAGAATACCATATGATATCCCGCATTCCTCTGTATTATCTCTTTAGATAATAAATATTCATATATCCGCATTTATAGTATAGTCTTAAAATTGTATCCTATAACTATATTATACATAATATACTTGTACATCCCGCACACCTATAATATACAAATATAAATGGATTCCATTATATTTTATATAGTAATCTACGCAACACTTAACCGTGTTCTCGCTACATACCTACATATAATTTTTATTTTCGTTACTGTCCGCTTACGCTGTCTATTGACAGGTCACTGTATAATTACCTATAGTTATATTGCGTTAAATCATTAGATATGTCACGTAAAGATAAAGATGCGCCTACCTTTTCACCTAGTCGTCAACTTATTATGTTAGAAGCTAAACGTAATGCTTTATTTCAACGAATACAAAGTATTTACGATAAGTCGAAGTCGGCTACGGAATCGGAAGAAAAAAGACGTATGTTTCTTAGTTCATGTATAACCATCGATGACGTTCGTAATAAGTTTCAAGATGTACTTGATGAATATAATAGTAGGATGCTTGATGAGAATCCTTCTGCCGTACCTAATTTTCATGTATATGACTCATTTGAAGATTTGTTTTGTTCAATTAAACAGACATTTTCTGATCTTTCTTCTGCGCCCACGGGTGGGAATTCGTGTGGGATAGATGCACCTGTATCTAGGCCCAGGCTCCCCCCTGGAATTAGTCTCCTTCAGCGGCAATTATCAAGATTGGAATTTATTTTACGCTAGTTACAAATCTACTGTCCATGACAACTCCTCACTTACAAACTCAGAAAAACTGTATTATTTACTGGGTAAGTTATCACCCAAAGTACAATCGGTATTTGCAGGTATTACACCCTGCGCCGAAAACTATGAAATTATATTTAAGTCTCTGCTTGATAAGTATCAAGATATTCACGTTCTCGGTTCTAATTACTTAGACCAGATTTTAAATCTTAAATTAGGCAAAATGCCTTCCGCCGCAAGTTTTCAATTATTTATAGATAAGTATGTCACCGCCGCTATGTCATTAAAGGGCTTAGGTATAAAACAATTATCTGATTTCATTTTATTATATATTGCAAAACGTAAATTCGATTCAGAAACATTACGCGCGTTCGAATTACACTCTTCTATAACAAAATCACGTGATTTTTGACGGATTTATTAATTTTATAAAAACACAATGCCGCATATATGAAAATACACAACCCGCGCCCGCCACCAGTACAGAGTCAAATAAATACCGCCCGCCTACTAATAAATACCGCCCGCCTGCTAAGTACCCGGACCCACAGTCTTATGTTTCAAGTGTAACACCTATAAAATGTTCACTTTGTAATAGTAATATGCATGATCATTTTTATAAATGTAGTGCATTCGAAAAATTGTCACCTCTCGATCGTTATAAACATATTAAAGCTAACAATTCATGCGTAAATTGTTTAAGTACCAAGCATAAGTCAGGTGTTTGTAGATCAAAATCTTCGTGTCGTGCATGTCAAAAGCGCCATCATTCTTTGCTACATTTTGTTACGGATCGGGGCTCGCTGCCCGCGCGCGATGCGCCCGCGCCCCGTAGTAGCATGGCCTCACCCCCGCTCCCGTCACACAGTGGCGAGGCCGTGGCCAAGCAGAGTGGTCTGTCACTTTGCGCGCTCTGTAACAAAACTGTGCTACTAGCAACTGCACGCGTTATTGTGTATGACGCATTAGGTAAACAACACTTAGTTCGATGTTTATTGGACAGTGCGTCCCAAAGTAATTTTATTACTGATGAATGTTGTGACCGCTTAGGTTTATTAAATGAATTAAAATATTCATCTACGATGGTAAAGGGTATTGGTGGCTCACAAAAAAACGTTAAGGGTTCAGTAGAATTTAATATATTTTCTCGTTTTAATTTTAATGTTCGCTTTAATATTTCCGCGCTTGTTGTTGACCGTATTACGGACAGTTTGCCTTCCGTTCCTGTCAATACCGCCGCATTTTCACACATTAAAAACCTACCGCTGGCAGTCGGCGAGTTTGCCATTCCTAGTAATATAGACGTACTTATAGGTAGTTCTATATTCCCGCACTTGCTATTGCCGGGTATTGTGCATAGCAAGCATCGTAATATTCCGCCTGCGATACAAACCGTATTAGGGTTTGTAATCATGGGTTCCGTACCCACTTTTAATTCCGCATCGCCTAATTCCGCATTATTAAATACCGCATATACAACGTCATGTTGTTCCGTGATTCATGATCGTATGGACACTCTCTTCCAAAGTTTTTGGGAATTGGAGGAGATATCCGCGCCGCCCGCTCAGAGTGCAGATGATCTCGAGTGTGAACATTATTTTCGCGCCACCACTACTCGTGATGATAGTGGTAGATATATCGTATCCCTGCCGTTTCGAGAGGACGTGTTCTCCTTAGGCGACTCTTTCGCTGCCGCACATAGACGTTATTTATGTCTAGAACGTAAGTTGGAAGCGTCACCTCATTTTCGTTTTTCTTATAACGAAGTAATTCGCGCATATATTGATAAGGGCTATTTAAGTCCAGTTAAATCGCATCAAGACAATTCACTTATACCCTCGTACTCGTACTACATTCCACATCACGGAGTGCTACGAGAGGATAAGGTCACCACTAAATTGCGCGTGGTTTTAGATGCCAGTTGTAAAACGACATCTGGTCGTTCGTTAAATGATATATCGCATAGTGGTACCAACCTACAGGGTGATTTATTTAGTATTTTAATTAACTTTCGTCTTTTTAAAGTTTGTATTTCCGCCGACTGTTTTCAAATGTTTCATCAAATAGTTGTACGCGAACCCGATCGTAGGTTTCAGCGAATTTTGTACCGCTTCAGCACCGATGATCCTGTGACTGAATATGAATTTAATCGTGTATGCTTCGGACTGAGGTCGAGTCCATTTCTCGCGCTCCGCGTTGTTCAACAACTAGTTGAAGATGAAGGGGATAAATTCCCTGCTGCTGCCGCTGTTGCTTCGTCTGCACTATATATGGATGATATCGTATCTTCTGTTATGACAGATGAACAGGCTATTACCATTAGCAACGAACTTATTGCACTTTTTAAAATGGCACAGTTTGATCTCGTAAAGTGGACGAGCAGCTCCCGCGACGTGCTTGCTCACATCCCGGATACACACAAAACCCTCAGTGACAAATCATTCGATAATTCCACCCCGCACAAGATCTTAGGTCTATTTTGGGATAACTCTAATGATTCTTTTAAGTTCAAGGTAATCACGCCAGACGCTATATGTACTTTACGCGCTATCTCAACGCTTTTCTGTATATTCTAAATTATTACGGACTATTGTTTATATATATAAATTTATTAAACGCCTTCCTCGTAATACCGTTATTACGAGTGAAGACTTAGATTTTGTTGAAATAAGGTTAATCCGCGCCGTGCAAGAAGTATATTTTGCACATGAGTTTAATAATAAAAATAATAAATATTGTTCTTCCGCTTTAAACAAGCTCCGACCATTTATAGACAAGGACGATGTCATCCGCGTCGGTGGTCGCTTGTCAAGTTCCGCTGAGGATTACTGCACTAAGTATCCTCTACTTTTACCGCGCCGCGATCATGTTAATCATAAGAAGCATCTTCATGCAGGACCAGAGTTACTTATGTCCTTACTCAGGCAGAAGTACTGGATCCTGTCCGCTCGCCGCTTAATACGTTATCGCATTCATAAATGTAACGCTTGTTTTAAAATAAAACCGCGCCCTACGTTTCCACTCATGGCCGATCTACCGAGCCACCGCGTCACTCAAGTTGATAAGGCATTTACGCATGTAGGCTGTGACTATGCCGGTCCCTTACAGTACACACCTATTCGTGGTCGGGGGTTAAAGGCCGCAAAGCATGGCTATGTATTTTCACTTGTCTGACAACCCGTGCTACTCATATTGAAGTTGCTACTGATTTAAGCACGGTTAGTTTCTTATCCGCACTTAAACGATTCTTATCTCGCCGAGGCCCGATAAACTGTTTATATACGGACAATGGAACATGTTTCGTGGGTGCTCGCAAGTATCTTCGCGATTTATATAAGTTTCTTGATGAATATCGCCCGCATTTAGAATTAGAACTTTCAGAAAATCGCATTAGTATGAAATTTATTCCTCCCGCTGCTCCCCACTTCGGTGGAAGTTGGGAAAGCATCGTAAAAATAGTTAAAAATAATTTATTTAAGGTGATAGGATCACAAATTCTCTCTTATGAGGAACTTATAACAGTGCTTTCTCAGGTTGAGGCACTTATTAATTCGCGTCCACTCACAGCTAGAAGTAGTGACCCCGCTGAGCCGTCTGCTCTTACGCCGGCTCATTTTTTAAATACTGTCCCTCTTTCATCCATTCCTGCGCCAGAAGCTACGTACACGCACGATTTAAATCAACGCCATTCCCTTCTGGATAGCATTGTACAGTCTTTCTGGCGCCGGTGGCGAATGGAGTATCTGCATCAATTGCAGACACGCGCTAAATGGAATCTTCCATCAGTTCCCATTAAGGAGGGTACTGTTGTAATTTTAGTAATAGATAACGCACCGCCCTTTTCATGGCCATTAGCTGTCGTTGAAAAGGTACATCCTTCCAAAGACGGAACTACGCGAGTGGTCACTGTTAGGACTTCAAAGGGTAGCTACCTTCGCCCGGTAGTTCGTTTGTGCCCATTGCCGCATCAATAGTTATATATTTAATATAAGTAAAATTTAGATTTAGCTTAGTTATATATAACTTTCATTCATATATCGTATTCACATAACCTCAGATAACTTCCCGCTTATGATTAATCTTATACGCATTAATATACCGCTCATTTTATTTATATATATCTTCCGCATACTGCTATTCATTTCCCAGTGGTATATATATGTATATTTTTTTTAAAGGCAACCCTTTAAGGCCGGGAGAATGTTTGCGCCACAACTAGTTTAAATGCACATCTCGTGTAATAGACAAGGACAGACATACTCACGATCTAGGGCCGAAAGGAGCCGAGTACGCCCGCGCCATCGATGGAAAGAAAGATGGCGCTTCTTCTTCGTTTCCCGCTCGTGTCTGAGAAACGCCGCTCGCACATAATTACGTTTTATAATAATTGAATCACTACGATTTAATAAACTATTGAATTGTCAAGGTGTATATAGATAGTGTGCAATATTCAAGGTGTATATACACTAATTTCCGCCGCGCGTGTTGTGTGTGTGATCAGTTCATCGATCATCATCGTCGTCGATCATCGATTCCTGCACCAAGACGCCATAGCAGAAAGCCAGGTACGCTCGTAACTCCTTACTTTGCCCGTGATCTGTGACGACAGTCTTATCGAAGGAATATATCTCTCGGGATACATATCCCTAGGGAACCGCAAACATTTTTTGGTTAATGGTAAATGTTATTTGACTAATGGTGCCAATAGTCCCCATTGTAAAGAATACTTTAGTAATAAGGACTAGACTATAGTCTGTCTGATATTTGGCTTAATTATATGCAATATTTATATGTCATACCGGGTACTCGTCCTTGGATAGAACCAGTGACAATTACAAATAATTTCTACCAACAATACTAAGAAATACAATAGTTACGTAATTACGAAAACAAATAGTTTATATTACCTCATTTTCATTAACAGCCTACAATAGGATAAAATATAAAATTATCGTAATTCTAGGCACTTTTTGAATATTTATTATCTACCGACACATTCCGATAGTTTCTTAATAGCAAATAGTCAAGAACACAAAAGTCTGTTAAATTATAAATTATAATTTAATTACATTGGTACTGTACACTTCTATACAACAATTATTGTCATTCGTATTTAACTTATACATTTTCTCCTATTTCTCTACTGGACTGACTTTCAAGTACAAGTCCATTTTCACCTTTTGTATCATTTTCCTTTATTTTATTTGGTAATGCCACTGGTGACTCGATTTCAAAGGTCACTGGTCCATCATTCTGTATAGCCACCTGCATATAGGCACCAAATTCTCCATCTACAAAAATTATATTAAAAATTTATATAATATATGAAATGAAAAAGAGCTCTATTGTTCTCACAGAAAGAAAATTAATACAAATGTTTGCACCGAGTGAGGAATCGAACCCGCAACCATCAAAAGTAAAGCGGTGTGCTGAACCATTAGACCACCAAGGCCGTCAAATGCAACAATGGTGACCTTATCGCTAAATAGCGATTTCTTCCAATAATAAAGAATACTGTGACTATGAAACAAGTAATTATTAAAACAAGCTGAGACTTCTTGCTAATGACAATAAACAGTAACCTAAATAATTCTCTTTTTCCAAGTCCTATACATAAACCAAATTTTATAGGAACTTAAAGGAAGGCGTGCCGGACTCGTGGTCTTCAACAATAGCTCAAGGGTTACGGTATGGTTTTTAGTGGTAAAACACTTTAGTTCAATTTAAGCCTTTGTTAACTAAACAGAGTGAGTTTTCATATCTTCATTTAAATATTTTAATTCACCAGTTCCCTGTGCAGTGTGTGAAAGGCAATCCTTCTGTATGCTCATGTGCGGCGGTAATGACTTGCCATAACGAACATAGAAGACAAATGATTTATGGTAAAAAAAAAGGTCTTCCACAATGTTTTCGATCTCTTTTCTCTAGAGAACTTTGTCCAGTGAGCCACAGAATTTTTTATGCCACATGATAAGAAAATTGATAAGGAGTGAAAATATAACAAACATCTAAGCTAAATGTTCAGTAACATTTAGCTTACACAAAGATTTTGCTAACTTTTATTGGCCCATGCTGCTTAATATAAGGTTTAAATTACCACATAACTTTCTGGGTGTTAGGTTGCTAGCAATTTACAAAAAGAGCTCAGCAAGTAATAACAATATATTGCTTATTACATATAATAACATAAAGATACAATTATGGGTTTACCTACTTAGCCAGTAAGTATAATCCAGGCAGTCACTTAAATAGAGATTTAAGACCAAGCATTAGTGCCTAATCTAGGTCAAGCATGTAGCAGGTATCTTAGACATTAGTGTCATCATTTAGATGTTACTACCTAGTACTTAGCATTATATTAGTTTTACGACTTACACTTGTTCAAATAACTTTGTGTCTATTTATATTTGACAGTTCATTTGTAAATGCCCAGCGAAATATAAGATGGCATTTGATAATGCCTCTGACTTCCAACTAAGTCACTGTCCCCTAAATAAACACATCACAACTAGCTGTTATCAACTATTTCTAAAAGCTAGCTGTTAAGAACTTTCATCATCATTTATTCTAAACATTACCTTTAACTTTATCGGGAATGTACTGATCTCTCAGCATTTGTAGAAACTTTTCATAGAATTCTTTCGATCTTTCTCCTGGCATAGCATTATGGAAATCTGGTTTGGTGCCCTGTAATGTAGATTTTAAATTAATTAACATTTACTACTACACTACTGTTACTAGAATGGCAAACATACTGAAAAAAGGAATTCATGACCTACACCAATGAACAGTTATGTCATAATATGAAGTCCGTAGTACCTTTCTTTGCGTTTAAATTCCTGATAAATTGTTTCTTCTTATTATGATATATATGATTAATTCTTGTATGACACGTGGTCATACAATTTCACTGCCATGTCTAAAACCGAATCCCTTACAGAGGCATGTGGATGATTTTGGACAAAGTCAATTATTGTAAGTCATTACAGTACAGTACAGTGGGGACTGGATTTACAGAATTAATAGTTGTCAAAATTAATTAGGAAACTGAATGCCTAAAGATATTAGAAATGTACAAACCTACCTATATATACATTTGATTTTGTTTGGCCATCCTTTGTGATTATCTAATCACTATCCCATATAACGAATATCCAGATAATAGAGGAATATGTCTCATACAAGAATCAACAAGAAATTTCTTGTTGCTTCTTGAACAATTCTTGGAACTTTACATTTTAAGGTAAAATGTGTGAAACTACCAAATAAGTACCAAATAGAACTAATTAATTAATTATAATTGAAACCAAAATACCTATCCTTCTAAACATTTTTTTTTAATATTGTTTACTTAACAGTATTTGAACAAGCTATTCGATGCTGAAGTATGATGATGAAGACTGATGCTGATAATTTCATACAAATTGGCATCTTTTGTGTTTCCTTTTGTTATAAGTTTCATATCTTATTTTATATGAAATATATATTTAATACCAACCTTCCAAGTATTGTATAAGGTAAACTGACTCACACACAGCACCTCAAATTGCTTGTCCATAACATTTTTCTTCCATCTCTTGTTTGATTCATCATCAAATATTTTTATACTTAGAATTTTGCGGATACTGGAACACAAATATATTTTTATATAAATATTTACTAATGTACATGCACATGCTTTACTGGTTACATACACAATGGCTCAAATACAGAAATAGAGTCCACCACACATGTTAAGTATGGCCTCTCCAGCATATACAGATTTATAAAATTATTTAGTTGTCTCCACCTCACCATATGAATGATGAGACACTGATATATGTGGACATTCTTATATGAAATATTTGAGTGACAGTATTGGCATATACCATTGGTGCATGTGGGTGTACCAAAGTATCATCCATATACAAAACCATGTTGGATACATACTGTTTGTCAATGCATATGGCAATAAGAAGTAAATAAAATATTATCTGTATAAATTCTATTATTTTTTAGTTAAGTAAGATGCATTGCTATTCCAGCGGACTAAAATGTCATCCCTCTGCTTATGCTGAAATTTAAATCTACTATTTAGAATATTAAAGTTATTTTCACTCAAGTTTCATTTGAGTTGGGATGACATTTTAGTCCGCTGGAATAGCAATGCATGAGTGGTAATCATGGGTGTCACACAATAACATGTCATTCCTAGTGCTGTTCATATATATAGGTGGGGGTTACTGTTTACCATCAGGTCAGATTGTTTACCAAATGAATTAGATTAAAAATAAATATATAAGGCATATACTTACATGTACTCTATATCTTTAATTGTGTCATTGTTTGATATACCAATTAATACACATATACCCTGTCCAATACTGCTGATAACTTGCCCATTTACTGAAAATATTTCATAAAAAACATTTTTAATTAATGTAAATTAGTATTGTAGAAAGATACACAGCTATATGTTATAATTTTCCTTTCAATATGTTTTACATAAATAGAACATTTAATAAATGATTTGAGTACTAACAATGTAACAGACTCATCAATGCCATCTACAATTACAGTAATGAGCACACTTTATTTTATAATTAAACTTAATGTAAAGTAAGGTAAAAAGTATCCACAAATTATTTTTAGGCACTATAGTAAATAAATTTATTATTATTTATTGCTTGGTTCGGAATAGAAGATATTCAATTTATTTAGAAAAAAGTAAATTAAACAGAAGAGATTCATAATAGTAAATTCCTTATTTCACTTAGACTAATAGATGTTATTTTCTAAATATAAGATTTTTATTTGTCGTGTGGTTGTTTAAAAAGAACAATTACAGATTTTTGGTAATATTATATGCTATAGAAAATATACTTTTTAAATAAAAAACAATCACACATACCTCGAATTACTTCAGTTCTAAGTTACTAACTTACCAGTAACACTAGCGCTCATTACTCGTTGTATTAGCGCTTTCATTTTTTTTAACTAAGATAAGATTATTAAAAGTACATTTATTGAAAAGGAATTCGTAGAAAAAGATGAAAATACTATTTTAATTTAATTTTGATTTCAAATTTGTAGCGAAAGAGAGATATGAAAAGTAGTTTCAGTTGACAGACAGAAATAAATATGTCGACACATGACACTGACTGGGCTGATGACAGTGACGGAAAGAATTCTGAATTACCAACTTACTAACCTATATCTTCCTATATTTTGCAGCAAATGCACTAGGTGCCAAGCCAAAACAAAAGAAAAAAAAGCGTTTTTTGCAAATTCTTCTGTCAAAACAGGAAACCGTTTTTTCACAACAGTGTTTGCTAATTTACCTATTGGATGACTTCATAAACTCAAGAATCGACTTTTCTTTTGGTTAGTTTTGTTTTTATAGCGAGTAAACATTTGATACAATCTTAAAAATATTTTCTATAGACTTTATTTCACCTTTTTGTAACAAATGCTATGTATATATGTTTGTTACTATCACAGATACATATACATAGTATTTAATATTACAACAGATAATATTACATAAAATGTATAGTAATAATATTATTAATGAGCTAGTGTATCTTTTTGGAATAGTTTTTAAATTTTGATAATGGATTAACGATTTGGACTCTGGCGACTCTGTTGGGCCATCAGTGGAGGCTAATAAGATAACCATGAGACCTGTCAGTCTGTTTGGGTAGATTAGCTCATCGTGCAAATTAAATTGGAATTTTTCTCGATGGTTTCCAGAGGGAACTGCTTGGAGGTAAACCTTACATAGTACATTGCTAGCAATGGGTCATTAGGTACATTAGTCTATATTATTAGCAATCCGCTTCCCCCTATGTATATATACCTACTTAATCATTTTAGTAATAAGTATAGCTATTCAACACTAGATGGCAGACCGATAGTACTAGCACCTAATGTTTAAACGAACTTTGTAGATACTGAGTATTACTACGAATTATAATATGGAATGTAACTATGTTATAATAAAAATAATGTACTATTAATAAGCCTAAAAATGATAAGTCTATCGTTAGGAACAAGCACTAGCCATTTTGAAATAAGTATCCAGCTGTCTTTATTATTTTGTTTATAGCCTTTATTCTGATAGTGAGCTTAATTTTGTTCTTGTTTATTACTATTTCACTGCTTCGGTTTATCAGTTTCTCATCCAACGCTGACCTTCTCCATGTTGTTTCAGCTATTGCCCTTATTTCCCATATTCGTCAAATATTGGTATTATTTAGTGCATCATATTTTTGATGTTAGTTGTGGTTTGCACGGTATAGAATTAGCCATTCAAAAAGTTCACGATTTTCGTATTGAAGGACTTGAATTCATACAGCATCATGGCTTAAAAGATTATTAGTTTGTCATTTTAATAGACCCATAACAAATCCAAAAATTAATGCTAGGGGCATGTTTTTTTATAAATGATAATGTAATGGTGCATCCGTCTGCGCTCTTTACGCGGTTTATGCTGGCGGGACACCAGTCGGATAAGAGTGGTGACGATTTTTTTTTGAACTGATTTCATATTATATTTGTAGTCTTTCACTTGTGTGTTGAAGCAGGATGCCAAATAACAAAAAATAAACAAATATATAAGTTTAATATTAGTTTAATTAATTATGTGTTAAGTTAGATTAATTAAAATGTACTTACTATCTAAAAACACAATAATTAGTGATTGTGAACTATTGGTTTAAAATATTGCATGTCTTTCATATTTATGAATTTATTATCTATTATATAGATCAAAATTAAACATACGTAGGTACAAGCCGTGCCTAATTTATTCGAACACAATAACATTTTCTCAAGTGTACAAATTATTTTCCTTGATGTACATCATATATGCATATATCACACATGCAGGTCGATCAATAACATTAAGACAGTCACTTATTTAATAAATCATAACACACATAGTTTATAATTTAAGAGTATTTCAACAGTGTCGCTTACCGTAACTAAAATTCATGTTAAATATATGTAATATATGTAAAAGGATCGGTTTTGATTATGTACATTTATAATACACACAAAGTATGATTTTGTTTAGAAAAAATATGCTTTTATAATAGTAAAAGTAATATTGGGCCAACGCAGAAATCCCATCATTTGCGAATAAACTATTCCAGCTTATTTATTATAAGCATAATAATTAAAGAAGTTTTACAGCACAACGAAAATTTTACATGACCATCACAAATTTGGCCAAACAATATATTTTTTTTAATTTTCGCAATAGTGTTTATTGTATCGTAAAAACGAAACAAAACGCCCGTATTTTATTTTAATATGTTTTTCCTCGTACAAAGGAGCTCAAAAATCTTGCTTTCCAATATCGTAATAGCAATGGTTCATATGACTTAAGTACTTATGTGGGATTCATCGCACATTACAACCGCTGTAATAAAAATAATTGTGAAACGTATTAAATAATATTTTACGTTGAATCTTGAATCTAGAAGTTATTTTTTCAACCTTTCCTTTATTCATAATAGGTTTTACTGAATTATCTTCCTATGCTCCTTTTAAATCACAACTACTTACTGAATAAACGATGTTAGATTATAAAAAAAATGGCAACGACTCTCGCTTAAATACTTTCGACCACCGAAACAGACAGAAAATACAATTTAATAAGAAATAGCTAGTTTTGAAGTCAGTTAGTGAGAGTGATGTTGCAAGCGCAAACTTTAAAATATGCCTTCTACTTAGACAATTTTGCAACAAAAAAGACACGATTATTCTTAAAAACAATAACAGCCTCATGCATTACAACCTCTGAATAGCTTACATATAAGATAACAGGTATTCTAGAGTTACCACAACATTTTAGTTTAAGACACAGCATTCAACATTATTGCTGGCAGGCAAATATAAAAGAATTCTAACGGTCTGTTTTACAATTGATGACAAAATTCTCAAAGAATTTAGGCCCCAATTTTACAAACTCACAAATGGTGTCACGGCACTAATTGTAAATGAAGTTTAAAAAAATTATAATTAAATTCTTTGATAAATAAAAACTTTAGAGTTAATTGTGATACTTAATCGGAAATATGTTTCCATTATCTATCTTCAGAATTTAAGAATTTTATCTACATTATGCCTAACTTTATATATATAAAATTATATTTAGATAAAATTTTGAATTATGTTTCGGGTTACTGATACGTTATTTTGTTTTAGTTATTAACTTAACTGAGTTAGAAGTCATTTGTAAGAATTCTAATACTTGTGAAACAGACCGTAAGCCTCCCGAAAAGACACGAAGAGGAAGTTATATTTACCTTTATGATTATAATAATATCTACTTTATAAAGAAAAGAGATCATTCATTATTTTTTCTCTTTTATTCATAACAACATGAAACGTCTAGTAAGTTCATTTTACCTATTAAACTGTTATGACATTTTTTCGTAATTTGAATAGTAATTGACACAACAGTTTAATATTTAAAATAGATTTGTAGAAGTTCTAGTTTCTACGTACATGTCATGAAGTATATTAGAATCGAAGTTTTAGTAATAAATCCACGTTACGTCTAAATAAATACTAAGCGCAATAATTATAATTCGACGAGTAAAAATATTTCCAAACAGAATTTAATAACAACTTTAACAATATTTAATACCACGATGCAATAATATTAATAAAAAAACTCTCATTAATAAATTAGAAATAAGAACAATATTTTTGAGACGCCGTAATATGTGCGCGTGCCATAGTTGTTTGGCTATATTCCGATTTTATTCCTAACTTAAAAATACCGCTGCATAATTTTGATATTTTGACAGAATTATTTTTGCATTCATTAATTATCTGATCTCATATAACTCACTTAAAGTCATTCACACTGCAAGTAACTGAACAACAATACATATAAGTAAGCAAATACGCAGCGTGCACACACAAAAGTACGTGTAGGTTGATTAATACAACAGTTAAATCAACATAACACTAGTAAACTTCAATCAGTCCATTCATAAATTCATTTTCTTAATCCTTAGGTTCAGTTTTTATTGTAGGTTCATTGCTGTCTTTATCATTTTGAATTTGTAATTTTAACTCCTGTGGTATACCATACACGCGTACGTATTCGATATAGCGGCGGCGATTTTCAGGGTTACTCATAACAGCTGTGATGAAGTCCGCCGTTTCCCTCTGTAATGCGATTATCTTTTGTTGTATTAATCTGTTCTTTTGCATGAGCGCAATGGTTCTCCATGCCAACTCGAGAATGACACGGTTGTGGGCTGCTTTGTCGGGCAACGGAGGGGCTGGTGCCCATGGTGTGGTATTCTCATCATGGGTCGGAGGAGGTGGTAGCCGATGTAGCCTTTCTACACGTCGGGCCTCTCGCAAACGTGTCAGATGAGATCCTGGAAAGATACAATACGAATATTAACATCTGCTCTTTAAATTATACAAAGCAAATTGGCAGTTTTGGTTTATATTTCTCTGCTTACTTTTCTAAACTATGCAACGGTATTTTGTATGAGTTCATCACATGTTCATTTGTACATCTTTCAGAATTTGTCAAAAATTATGATATAATCCTATTAGAATAGCTCTTTCTATACAAATGGTTCCATTCCATACATTACCGTATTGAAATTTTAAATGTTTTAGTTTGAATGAGTGCGGGTCAACGAAATCAATGTTTTAATAGAATAAATAACTTTGTTACTATAGGTTGATATAGACTGTGTTTAAAATAATATGAAATCTATAACAATATTATGCGTTGTGTTTTATAATTATTCTAAAGTGGCTATCTATTTATTACCTACCTAAAACGGCATAAGGAATGTTTGACAACAATTTAGATGTTACCCTTTATTTGGTAAAAGCAGACAAAATCACGAGTAATTGTCAATATATATCAGAATTAATAATAAAAATTCTAAAACATGTAAAAATAGTCTAACTTACTCTTTATAACATTAGCTTTTTTATTTATTCATACAGTATGCCACGACATATAATGGTCATAAATAAAAAATAAAGAATTACTTGTACCATAATGTCGTAGTAGGGGTTCTATTAATGTTACTGTACAACAAGTATTGTTTTAGTATGCTACATAAACTTCACATTTACTCGTATTGTGAGCAAATGCTATAACGATAGGCGATGATGCTCATGACGTAATCGTGAGACGTAATCAAGTCAGTCATAAATAAATTTAATTAAAATGTCTACCGCCATTCGTATGCTCCTGCGCAATGTGTATATCGTGTTTAATAACAATTTTTATAGCATATTATAATTATCAATATCCATCCTAGAAATTTACATTAATATGGTCCCAAATTATAAACCACTTTAATTGTAATCATAAATTGGGTATAGGTATTTGTAATTGCATTTATTTATTATACAAAGTCGTCTTCTTTGAAAGATGTGTTTCGAATGAAGAATGGGATAAGGCATTGAAATTACAAGGTACAGAAATCAAAATGGCAACGCATGTGTGTTTTCACCTCTGCCCTCAGATCGGTCGTCAGCTCTTTATTTGATATCGAAATTTAAATTGGAATGATATTCCAATTAAAAAAAAAAACAAGAGATCGGTCGGTGAACTTCTATTTAAGGCTATATTTAGGCGGTAGAGTCTGTTTTCTGTCTGAATCTCATATACTTATATATAGTTATGGAATGCAGTAATTGTAGTCACGTTAAATAAGAGCGTGCGTTCAAAAAGCTGCCAACAAAATCAGCGCGTGTCTGCGCCACGTGAGAGATAGAGAGGGAGCCACCGAGGAAAAAATTGAGTACAGATTATTGCATTATTGTTATGTAACGTGCATAATAATAATAATCCTGGACAATTCACACAGTGCCATCTAGTCCCAAGTTAAATGGATTTTTGTAATGGTACTAATGTTAAGCAACAGATACATTGATTATGGCGCTGTGTGAATTGTCCAAAAAAACTTAAATAAAGAAAGGGGTTGTGTTCAACTTATCATCCTCCACTGATGCCCCGTCACTATCATTAATAAAAAAACTTAAATACACTTAGTTTTGTAAATCCGTATATACATTTTGTTTGTTTGCAACGTGCAACTAAAACAACAAAAGGAATCGAATCTAGGACCATCGGAAATAAGGGGGTGTGCTAAATGTCTACACTACCTAGAGGCCGTCAATTAAGCTGACGGCCCACCTGATTGTAAATGTAACCGACGCGTGTATATATGAACATCACGTAATACCACGTGCATCAGCGTGATGCTATCAGTCACTAGGCATTTAAACGTGAGTAAGACTGTAAATGAATTAACAAAGCTATTTACACTATCCTTCTATTATATAAATTATATATGCTTTGTAAGCTGTACTTTGGTTGTAGAGTACAGATTAGGCATTGAAATTACAGGATAAGAGGTATGATATGTTTAGTCCTTTCGAATGGTAGTGGATGGAAAGAATTGATTTTTTTTATTCATTAAATGCATGTACTTACGCATATGCATTTAATGAAAACTGTGAATTTTAAGTTACAAACAAACACAAATATTTTATTATTTGTATAAATTTCTATTGAAGTTGTTTTTGGGAAGATTTTTATTATAAACTGGTCTTAGTATAAGGCGACATATAACATTTTCACAGCAGCCGTGATAAAAGATAAGTGAAGGGATTTTGTTATGTTTACTTCAAGGTTTATAGTAGTTTATCTCTAAAAGTGTATTATATATTTTAAAACTATAATGCATTTAAACTTTACAAATTATATAATACAAGATTATTCTTAAAACGAAGCCGTGGTGCTGGATAATGCTTATTTATATTATATGTAAAAAAACTTAAATATTAAAGTTTAAATCTAAATACATGAATATTAATCCATGTATTTAGATTTGTCCGTATTGGCAAAGTATTTTCCGCGATGTAAGGAGTATCCTTTATTAATTTTCGTGGCACATTTTTCCGCTACGCCATTTTCATTACGTAATTGCGGAAAAACTGGGCGGAAAAATCTGCATAACTAAACCCCACGTGACTGTGATGGTATATAGATCTAGGTGTATCAATATAACAATCTGTAGGCACCGTTAGGCTTGTCCCGTCTCCTATGTTGAACTCAAATAAGTTCGCACGGTCATGTTTGTAAATAACACTGTAGACATAAGGTGCACGTTCCTTTTTTGTCACAAGAATTAAAAGGTTTTAATTATTAATGTCTATTAGTATATTATAGTATATGTAATTTAATTAATGCGGAATTTAGACTCCGCATTAATTAAATAAATTTGGTAACAGTGATTGATTGATGATAATGGTATTGGCACCATCCGCTTGCTCTAAAGGTTTGTATATCTACGCCGGCAGGACACTGGTGGAGAATGATAGGATGAGTACAAAGTCAGGTGTGACTGACCTATCCATCGTGGTGAATTAATGAATTCACTAGGAGGTGACATTAAAAGTTGTATTTAATAAAAGTATATGGAAGTCATACTGAAAATAAAATAATTATTGAACACCCGGCAACGAAAGTTAGAATAGTAGAACTCCAGTTGAATATTATAGTGTAAATTTGTTATCTGGAAGAGATTAGGTACATAAGCCAAGACTTTCCTTTGTACCCAAAATTAACAGAGTACTACTCTGTTAATTTAGATTCCTGCAATATATCTAGTGCATAAAGAGTACGTATATAAATAAATTAATATATTCTATAAGATTAATTATCATCATAGAGTTGAAAAATTATAATATACAAAATGTTATATACATAGTACAGTCTTCATGTAATAAATCTAGCCTTGACCAAAATTAAATTTTATGAATTTGTTGTAAACTCGTTATCCGTTAGTTGTCCATGGCCAACCGGATTCTGTTCTTTTTGTATACAAACAGATCAAATGAATGTAATGGTAGATCTATATTTGAATGTGGTATCATACCCACAATAATGCTTTTCTTGACACACAATTGTCAATACTAAAATCAAATTATTTTATATTTTTGTAGTGAGCATATCTTGCTATTGACATTATTGAATTTCCAAATATTATTAATGTTCCGAAATATTGTATTTTTTTTTATCTAAAGTTACTAAGGAAAAAAATTTATTTTTATATTTTTTAAAAGCTTCACTTTTATTGTTATAGGGAGTTCAATAATTAAAACAATAAAGCTATAACTAGTTTTGCTCTTTTTCGATTAGCAATATTAATAGAGACCTATGCCTAATTACCTATTTTGTCTACAAGGGATTATTTATTATAACATAAACCCACTTCTTGAAATCAATCTATGAAACAATTGAATGTAGTCCTTAAAGTCATCTTCATTGATATTAAGTTACGGTGGTAAGTATGATGGTGTGATTCTCCTTGGAGCAAACAGTGGAGATGACGTAAAGCATTCATGGGTTGATGAACTCTCCGCCTACGACCGACTTTCCTGCACATAGAGCGATGCGAATTATTGTTTAAGATAAAGTTGTGCCGTTCATTGCTTGTTTATTATCAGGCGTAGTTGGTAATAAACTATTAATAAACTCGATTGAAAGGGACAAAACCGTTCAATAGCTGTTTTATGCAAGTAGAACAGAAGAGGACAAAATAACTACTGAACTGACAGGTGCTTTTCTGTCACATATTATTTTCAAATAAAAAAAAAACAATACTCTGTTATATTTAAAATAGATTTGCAAGACGCTTATAAATAAAGATAACGGATAATAATAACATAATCTTAGTGGCTCCATTTCAATATTTGTTACTTTCGATTTTGGCGCAAAAAGGACTTGTAGTCAATAAATAGAATATTTACCTAAGCTTGCACTATCTAAATTATTGTAAGATTAATCCATCAATTGAGTTTGTATAACAAACACTTTCCATTACTCCGTACCGAGACTTCTCAATTGATCCAATGAAGAAACGAACTCAATACCCCAAAGCAAATTGCTTTCCACTGAATTTAAAATAATGAAGCTTTTATGCTACCTTTTGAAAAATACCCGAAACAAAAGGTATTCCCGTACACCCTACATGCTACAGATGGGGCTTTTGTATTTCGAGATGAAATGAAATGAAATAAAATTTATTGGTTAAATGTGGTTTAACAGTGATGGTTTAACATAGTCAACATAATACTACATACACTAGTTCTACACATTAATAATCTCTGACATGCAATAGACGGGGTAGATATAAATGAAATGCATAGTAGGTATATAAAGTCCGTATACGATATTCAATACTTAATAATAATAAGTAATATAATTATGATGTACAACTTACAACATAGTAAAACTTACCCAAGTCTAGGCATAGAAAAGAAAAACATTACTGAGATTAGTCTATTTGAAATTTCAAAAATATTGTAATTTTAACTTTTTCTTCTTACTAAAACACTAACAATTTTCTTATTAAATCATTAACTTTTTGTATGGATTTAATATTAACTATGTTATTGATAACTGTGCGTGCAGAGTGGTATGATTTCTAAATGAAAATGAAAATTGTGAACATGTTACTGACTAAATTGCTCTGGATCATAGGGATGTTTCATTATCAGATTAGGATAGGTCAGTATTTGCACGAAACAGATATTTTCTTTGACATAACATCCAATACACATAATAAAACAGCAAATAGTTACCCTTCTTAATTTTCCTTGTTCTTTTTTCGCACATTTTGTACAAACACAGGTTGTTATCAACAAATGAACACACCAATATAACAAACGTCTATCACAATTATGTTTATTTTGCTTTTAACGCGTGTCGACTGTACAAAAACCAGTCATCGAATGGTTAGATATGTTTAAAAATCGAATGCGCAGACTGTACCCCGTAACGCCGCCGCGCACTGCGAGTTTACGAAACGAGACAGACTCGTGTTGTCATATCGATTTATTCATTACCCTAAAATAAAGCAAATAGTGTTACAATACGTGATGTAAATATTTACCCCTTGATAACAAACACGTGAAACGTCTAATAAATATATTTAAGTTATTTAACTTTAATTTGCCTTTATTTATTTACTTTATTTAAAAGAAAGTGACAAATTGTTGTTATTGTTAAATGGGCAGGTATGATGTTTTAATTGACCTCGCATAGTTTTACGCCTACTAGTGTCTTTGTTTCGAATTATTTCCGTATGGAAATGTTCTCACATTTTATCTACAATGAGATTCATTATACATTGACAAAAACCGCAATTTTGTTTAGTATGTATGCCATAAAACTTTTACTTCATAAAACTGGTAGAAAAATACTAGTATTAGATCTATATTTTCGGCGATTTCTTTCATTTGGTTAATAATGAATTTTAATAATAAATTAATCCATTGTTCTAATACAAGAAATAAGTCGATGTTATGGCTACATCGTCACTCACCAAACTTCTAATTATAATTCAAACTATATTCACAACTAACAAGTGACACTAATTCATCGTTCATAACAAAGTTTTGATATCTAATTGCGAGGCACGTGTTTCTCTTCATAAAAGAAGGGTATAGTTTAATTAATACCACGATGGATTGACATGCGATGACAACGTGACGGTAAAAGGGTAGTTGTGAATATTGCCCCAGTAGCTTAACTTTAATCTGGAAATGAAAAGGAGCGACGGCATATTATAGTTTTATAACTTGTCGCCGTACGGAAGAATTTATTAATTAACTGGGATTTAAATTTAACTTTTGCCCTTCATTATTAAAGTAATTATATATCACCTTATTTGATCACTTGGTATTCGCTAGTAATTTAGTAATTAATAAATGTAATAATTATTTAACGCACCGTAATTTTGAGTTCATCAATTTCAAACGTAAAACACATAAAAAATAGTTATTTTTTCATTTTTAGCTAGTATGAATAGAGGCTTTTTTCCCCATAAGATTTACAGGTACAGTGGTAACGCTAAACTCATTTCCATATTATAATATTAACTGGTAATAGTAATGAAAGTACAATATCGATTTCAATTAAAAACAGATTTATACCGTATTCTTGGTAAAATAATCGCGAAATAAATGGGCAACCTCACTGAAGCATAGGACACACCTCGCATGCTCCAACACGTGTTGAAAACGGCAAATTGCCCGTTATCTGTCTGCCTTACATAGAGTTACCAACTGCAATTAATTTAAGGTAAAAGTAATATTTTTGATGAAGGATTATGGAAACGTGCGCCCGCTTGCGCTGACGGTATTCGCTGGTGGGTCAGCATCACCAGTGAAAGGTGACAGAATGAGCATGAAGTTAGGGCAGTTACTGGTGAATTCACCAAGAAGTAACTACGTTGATTTCTGCGCGGAGTACGTAAAGGTTTCGTCTAAAAGTATTTTAATAATAAAATTGTGTGAATTGTATGGGGGGACAATTCTTAGTCCCAAGGTCAGCAACTAAGTAGACCTTGTGCTGTGGGTGTTAGACAACGGATATAAATACTAAGATATTTTTTTATATTGATATATACATACATAATATGGACAGACAGAAACTATCCAGACCGATACAAACACTCACTCATGAAACCAAATGTTTGCACCATGCGAGACATCGAACCCGTGAAAATCAGTCCGGATCCGGATACTTAGGTATTATTAGTGTACCTACTGGTATTAGTGGCAAACAACCTGACAGTCCATCTGGTTGTGTTGGCCGACCCTAATATTTTCGAATATATAGGTATGTGTATATATAATAATAATCTCATGATAATTTATACAGCACCATCTAGACTCAATTTAATTAATATACATATTATACATAATAAACACCCAGACTGATCGAAACAATCATACTCATGAATACAAATGTTGTACGAGGAATCGAACCCGCGACCATCGGAAGTAAGGCGGTGTGCTAAACCGCTAGACCACCTATTAAGCAAACCCAATATGTATATAATAATAGATATTGAATTATAATTAGGTTCGTAGATAGGGCATCAATAAAAGAGGAAAGTAAAATATTATATCACAATTATATTTCACGATGAAGTCTAAATTTACAGTCTTTATTTTCTATTGTTCTAACGATGACAAGGAATGTGCAATTTTCAAATTTATATTTTCTTTATATAAACTAAAGAGTTATTTTTTTTTATCTCAGGACAATTCACACAGCGCCATCTAGACCCACGTTAAGCTACCTAAAGCTTGTGTTATGGGTACTAGATAAGTGATACAAGTACATAGATATTTTTTTTTACATATTACATATTATACATGGAAAACCGATACAAACAATCATACTCATGAATGGACCGATACAAACAATCATACTCATGAATACAAATGTTTGTGCCGTGCGAGGAATCGAACCCGCGACCATCGGACGTAAAGCGGTGTGCTAGACCGCTATACCACCGAGGTCGGCATAGTTATTAACACCACCGAACCTATATTGTCGTATATTTGTACTTATAATATATGGTATAGGTACCATATATATGGTATAATATATGGTATAGGTACCATATATTATAGGTAAATCATACTCATAAAACATACATATCATACCTATGCCCTAACATACGTACACTACATATGCAAGCACCTACTTTATTCATATATCAAGCTTACATAGTTTGTTTCCGTTCTATATTCCCAGGTACCTGCAAGTAATCTGTATACATGAAGGAAAACAACGTATATTTGAATGAAATTTAGCACACAGAAAGAGTACAAACATACAGATCAAATGAGAATTAGATAGGTATAATCGAAGTATTTTTTTATATTTTACTATATTTTGACGAATTTCTTTGTAGCGAAGATTCATTGTACCTATCTGTGATACACTTGTAATATCAACACTCGAGTCTCTTCCACTGGTACCTCTCCACATAATACATATACATATGTAAGTTCCACGTTACGTTTCCGCGTCGTGTACGCGTCACTCTAGGTAGTAGGCCATGTAGCACATTAGCAATGAACTTACCAATGTACCTACAATAAATAGTACAATTATTTCACCGGCATATTCACTACCTACCTACGTACATACAACAATAAACAATAAATTATGTAGCGACATTTCATCACATCATACGAGTATGTAAGGCTAACCACCGCGCTATATATAGTATCAATGGCCATCTTTTATCTAAAAAAATTGAGAAGATATGGTAAAATAGAAATCTCTATAGTAGTGTGAAGTCAGGGAAGATCTTTAATAAGTGGGTACCCAAACACGTATGTATTATAAAGCAGAAAGAATTGATATTTTGTATGTTTGTTTGTTTATAATGGTTAAATTAACTTATTACATAATCGTAATCCATTGACCTTGTAACTTATTTGAATTCTTTGACACTGTAATAAACGGCGTAGCGCTTCCGTTACACTAGGAATTACATGTGAGTTGCTCTTTAAGGATGAATAACCTCTTTCTTGAAGAATTATCTGGGTATTTTTATGTATATTATCTACGAGTATGTAATTACATAAACATGTATCTATGTAGTTATATCAGATGTCCAGTATCTATAACACAAGTTCTGTTTAGCTAGATGGCAGTGTGTGAATTGTCCTGAGATCATCATCTGCTTCTTCCTTATTCCATTTATTTGGGGTCGGCGTAATATGTTTTTCTCTTCCATTCATCTCTGTTCGCAGTCATCTCGTTATTTACTCCCTTTCTATTTACGACCGCAAAAGAGATGGATGGACAGTGTGAATAATGATATGGTAATATCATTATTCACACTGTCCATCCATCTCTTTTGCGGTCTTCCTCTGGCATTATATCCATCCATATTCATATGTAACGCCTCTGAGATATTATATTATATTAAATATCGTACCAAAATAATAAAATACGTAAGGTAGCAAATTTACCTTTACCTTTTCTTATGTCTATGGCTTATATGCATGATGACTCGTTGATAACGTTTAGTGAATAGGTTGTGTAAATATACTGCACTACTATAGATAGATAGGGATATGCGACTCGTGTCATGTGTATGTATGAGTCATATTGTCTCGCCACAAGTTCTTACGTATGTATGTTACAATTCATACGTTGTTTTTGATGTGCAAAAACATTCCCTAAAAGTATAGTCGACAAGATAGATTTAGTATTACTAATATTAGTTAAAATCCATACTAAAATTATAAATGCTTGTGTCTGTTTATTAATTTGTCAACGACTGAATGAATTTTAATTAAATTTTCCGTGAAGATGGATTGTATCGAGGACGGATAACTATAGGCTATGTTTATATTAGGTTTATCTTAGGAAAACTAGACAAAATCGCGGGAAACGGCTAGTTATTTATAAATAGGTAAAGTTGATGAAAATATATTCAGTTTATATTCAGCAGCCCGTTGGTTTATTACTCCCGGTACAGGTTATTTGCAAAGATATATAATAATAATATCAGAATAATGTACACAGCGCCATCTGGACCCAAGTTAAGCTAGCTAAAGCTTGTATTATGGGTACTAGGTAATTGATACAAATATATAGATATATTTTTGTCTTACATATATAATATAGATAGAAAACATCCAGACCGATACAAGCATAGTCATGAATGCAAATATTTTTGCCGTGCGAGGGATATAGGTAACCCGCGACCATCGGATCTAGGTATTAGAACATAGAATCTATTGTCTTTTGTTATAAACTTATAACTGATATTGAAAATAAGCCCACCGCCAAGTTTGATAGGAAACCGCCACCGTTGCTCGTATACATATCATATAACAGACAGTATAACAAGGTTCCCATGGTAACACTCATGCGGGATGCAGATTTCTAATTGCCAATTACGGTCCACTACGCCGTTCTGCCTCTGTGGCGTGTAATTTCACTCCTGTAACTCGTTGAAACCCTTCAAATAAAA